CCTGGTCTGTTACCAGTTTGGGGATTACTGTGAATCCCCAAATTGCTGCTGTGAATATTCTAGTACATGTCTTTTGGTAAATAAATACGTATACTAACTTCTGTTTAGGGGACAATGGAATTGCTAGGTCATGGCGTAGGCATATATATTGTGCTTTAATTCTTTTTTTTTTTTTTTCTTTAAGATTTACTTTGCCAGGATTTTATTTTATTTATTTATTTATTTTGCAGGTTTTGGCCAGGGCTGGGTTTGAACCCGCCAACTCCAGCATATGGGCCCAGTGCCCTACTCCTTTGAGCCACAGGTGCTGCCCTGTGTGCTTTAATTCTTACTGCCAGTTTTCCACTGGTTGAGCCATTTTGTACTTCCATCATTAGAGAATAAGAGTTCTGATGCCTTTATGTACTTTTAACACTTGGTGTTGTCAGCTTTTAAAATTTTAGCCGTGCCCTGGTAGTTGGTTTTAATTTTTATTTCCCTTTAATGAGATTCTTGTGTTTCCTGGTTGTTTGGGTGTCCTCTGCTATGAGGTGCCCTTTCTCTTTTCTCCTTGCCTCCCAGGTGGCCAGCCTGTAGTCAGCAGCTGCAGCTCTGGCTCTGGCCTTCAGAAGATTTAGGCCTGGACACCTTAGGAAGCTGTGTGTGGAGATGGGGCCATGCAGGGACTCCCCACCATGGGGTGTTTTGCTTTCAGGGCAACTGCTGACTGGGTTCCAGAGGCAGGTCTCTTGTACTCCTACCTGGGTGTCTTCCGTCAGCAGCTCCCCAGTGAGCAGGCCATCCTCTTGGCTGCAGTGCTAGTATTTCATCATCGTGGGACTGCGTCAGGGACACCTCAGCTGAGGCACCGCCTGCAGTGGGAGGATGGGGCAGGATCCAGGCGGGACACAGGGGATCTCCCAGTTCTTCCCCCTTCTCTCGTCCAAGCCGCTGCTGACCTCTTAGTTGCTGCAATGAGAATTTAAAAGCGGTTCTGTTGTTCTTAGCAGTGGCCAGGGCCCCACTGCTTCTTGGCTGGGAGACCCAAGGTAAATAACTTTTCTTCTCTGAGCTTCTGTCCTCACCTAGGCATAGTCACAGACCCTTTGGTGGGGTGGCGGGGAACATTCAGGAGAAACTCCACGGGAGCACTGGCACCCTGCTCAAGGCCATCCAGCTGGCAGTGGCTCTCAGACTCTGAATCCCTGACCACTCTGGGCCACACCTGACTGCCTTTGCTTTTCTTTTTAATAATGGCAGCATGTGTTTGGGTGTTTACTAGGAGCCAGGCAGTGGGCTGAACCCTCTGTCCACAGCGGATGCTTCAACGTTGCCATGGGGCTCTGAGAGGTGATGCTGCTGGCCAGTGATGGCAGGGGAGAGTGAGATTGGGCCCCTGTTCTTTTCCTTTTACATCTCTCCTCCCTTTGGAATTGGAGTTCTCCATCCCAGCCTTTGGATGTATTCCGAACTAAGGAACTGAGCTGCACTGGGGGAGTATGGTGTTGGGGGAGGAATGGCTTCTCTAACTCCCAGTCACAGCCTGGAAAGCCATGAGTGTTCTCCCCCGCCCACCTCTCCCTAGGTTCCCTCTCACCAAACTCCTTCCTCCTCAGGGTCTTTGAATTTTCTGTTCCCCTGAGGACAGTGCTTTTCCTTACCTGTTTGCAAAGCTCTTTCCCTCGATTAGTTCAGGTATTTTTTCACATGTGCCCCACATGTGGCTAACATAATACCCCATCTCTGCTGTTCCCTCCACTTCGCTTTTCTTCTCCTTGCCTCTCTGCCACCTGCCATTATTACGAGTATCTCTTTTTTTTTTTTTTTTTTTTTTTTTTTTGAGACGGAGCCTCAAGCTATCCCCCTGGGTAGAGTGCCATGGCATCACAGCTCACAGCAACCTCCAACTCCTGGGCTCAAGCGAGTCTCCTGCCTCCGACTCCCAAGTAGCTGGGACCACAGGCGCCCGCCACAATGCCTGGCCATTTTTTTTTTTGGTTGCAGCCATCATTGTTGTTTGGCGGGCCCAGGCTGGGGATTTGAACCCGCCACCTTAGGTGTATGTGGCTGGCGCCTTAGCCGCTTGAGCCACAGGCACCGAGCCACGAGTATCTCTTTGCTGTTTTTCCTCAGCTGCTAGATTGTGAGCTTCTTGAAGCCAGGGGCTGTGTTTAGTGTGTTTAGTGTTTTAGCTGTGTTTCATTAGCATTGGTTGGAGCTTAACATGCACCCCAAAAGGTTAACTGATGGCATAAATAGAGTCCGAAAGTATTTCTGTGACCATGTCTGGTCCTGGGGTAGGGGGTCTGTTTGGTGCTGGTTTCATTCATCATGTGCTCAGTAGATACATCGTCCTGTGCTGGTCCTCTGAGTTAGCATTTGTAGGTACGAGGGGAAGGGCTGCCCCGGACAGTGCACAGAGAGCGAGAGCTCAGTATAGCCTCTGAGGCTGGGAAGGCTCCTGGAGGTGGCACTGGTTCAGCTGAGACCTCCAGGAAGAGGGAGAAGAATGCGTAGCAGGTACAGGAGATGGAGACCAGAGGGAAGGGCTTAGGCAACAGAAGTGTGACACAGAGTGGGGCTGGGGAGGAGGTGGTAAGGTGCAATAGTCAATGTCATGGTTGTTAGCCTTGACTGAGGACTCTCTAGGTGAATCTCCTGGCTCCTGCAAGGCCTCCTCAGCAGTGAGTGGAAAGGACTTTGTTGTGTTCTGAGTGTACTGGGGGAGTCATGGAAGGGTTTTGAGCAGGGAGGGGCAGGGTCAGATTTAGATGGAATATGGGGGTGAAGAGCAGAAGCTGAGAGCCTAGGGTTGGAGCAGGGGGTATGGGAGAGGTTGGAGAGGCACAGGAGCCCTCAGGCTGTAGGGGCCCTTTGGTGGGGAGCATTCAGGAGAAACTCCATGAGAGCACTGGCACCCTGCCCAAGGCCACCCAGCTGGCAATGGCTGGGTGAGTGAGCAGAAGGCAGCGGAGAGGAAGGCAGTAGGGCCTGGGTCCTGACAGGTCTTGGGTGCCAAGCTGAGGAGTTTGGCTGTTTGCTGGAACAGTAGAGAGCCATGGAAGGGTTTTGAGCAGGGGAGAGACAGGGCCAGATTTGAAGGTCAAGCTAGTGAAAGGGGAATGGTGAGGAGGGTAAGAGTGGAAGATAAGAGCCCAGGAAGGGGGTGGGGCAGGAGGAGGGGATGGGGAGAGATAGTCACGTTAGAAGGTGACACACTGGCTCGGCGCCTATAGCTCAACCGGCTAAGGCACCAGCCACGTACACCTAAGGTGGCGGGTTCGAATCCCCAGCCCGGACCCGCCAAACAACAATGACGGCTGCAACCAAAAAATAGCCGGGCATTGTGGCAGGTGCCTGTGGTCCCAGCTACTTGGGAGGCGGAGGCAGGAGACTCGCTTGAGCCCAGGAGTTGGAGGTTGCTGTGAGCTGTAATGCCACAGCACTCTGCCCAGGGGACAGCTTGAGGCTCTGTCTCAAAAAAAAAACAAAACAAAAAAACAAACAAAAAAAAAACAAAAAAAGAAGGTGACACACTGGCTTGGCGTCTGTAGTTCAACCGGCTAAGGCGCCAGCCACCTACACCTAAGGTGGCGGGTTCGAATCCCCAGCCCAGACCCGCCAAACAACAATGACGGCTGCAACCAAAAAATGGCCGGGCGTTGTGGTGGGTGCCTGTAGTCCTAGCTACTTGGGAGGCGGAGGCAGGAGACTCGCTAGAGCCCAGGAGTTGGAGGTTGCTGTGAACTGTAATGCCACGGCACTCTACCCAGGGGGACAGCTTGAGGCTCTTGTCTCAAAAAAAAAAAAAAAAAAGAAGGTGACACACTGATGGTGGAGTAGTGAGGGTCAACAGTCTGGCCGTCTTGTGTATTTAGGATGTGGGGTATGGGTCACGCCTCCTGGCAAAGGGCCCTGTATTGTTGCCTGCAGCCCCCCATGGCTGTCTTTGGAGTCTAGGTCGTGATTTCTCCCCCTTCTGTTTACTTCCCCATCACTGTCCATCTTGTCTTTCCTCCCGCTTCCTCCCACTTACCTCCCTTCCTTCTGCCCCGGGCCTGGGCAGCATGCCACTGTCACATGCCAGGCAGTAATGTGTCCCGCCCACCAGCTCCCCTGGGGCACGAGAGAAAGCTGATGCCCATAGTGTCCCTAGTGCCAGCTGCCACTTCTCTGGGGGCCACCATAGCTCCTGACCTGCTGTCCGCAAATAACCCCAGGCTGGGAAAGGCAAAAGGCGCCTTGAGCTGCATGGCCTCTGGCCAGGCCCCAGGCTCAGGTAAGAGCCCAGCTGGCAGCTGCCTCTCAGCCTCCTCCCTTCTGCTCTGGGAACCTGAGACAAAGCAGCGGTCTCGGCGTCCGTCAGTCTGTCAGCTGTTGGTCCCTGAAGACAGAAGTGGAGGTCTTGGGGAAGGGACCAGGGCCTTAGCAGAGCCCCCAGGACTGGTTACAGGCCCCAGCCGAGTGCATACGCAGTAGGTTGCTTTCTTATTCAAGACCCTGGAGTATAAGACTTCTTTTTCCTCAGTCACTTGGTGGGGGCAAGGAGGAAACTGAGGCTGGCGGAGTGACATGGAGGTCATGGTAGGGGCATTACTTAGTTTGCTGAAGGTAGCAGGTTGGTGGCTCCCTGGTTTGGAAAGTAAGGAGAGAGAGAGTTTGTTGGTGTTAAGGGGGCAGATAGATATTGGTGGCTTGGAGCATGCCCTTGGGTGCCCAGGGCTGTCAGATTCATCCTGGGTTACCTCAACACTGGGCTGTGAAGCAGGGGCAGGGCTGCTGCTCTTTGGTGCTTTTCCAGTCTGGAGTGAATGTGGGTGGGTGGATGGGCTACCTCTGTCCTTCATGGATGTCCTGAGTGCAGGGCCTGGCCTGGTACATAGCCCCTGCCTTGCTCTTATTGGGGTCCCTGAGGGTAGGAATCTCTCCAACCCTGTGCAGAGCAGGCAGAGCAGCCAGAGGGCCTCAGAACCTGGATGTGCAATCCCTCCCACTCTGACCAGCTCTCTCTTGTCTTGCAGACTGTGCTGTGACCACGGTGTCCCCTGTATGTCCTGCTGTTCTGAGCTGTCCCAAGCTAGGTGACAGCGTGCCACGCTGCCACCATGAATGAAGTGTCTGTCATCAAAGAAGGCTGGCTCCACAAGCGTGGTAAGGGACTGCTTTTTGGCCACTAGATTTTGTGTTTCATCTTCCCACCCCGGCTGTCCCCTGGCAGCTAGTGTCCTGAGAAGCAGAGGTACAGGCCTTTTACCAGCTTGAGGAGCCAACATTCCACAGTCCCCCAAGCCAGTAATCCTTACACACTCATTTCATGGAAGCCTGTAGCAGTAGCCTGGGCAGGGGAGCTGAGGTTCTCCCAAGCTGAGTTTCCAGGCCAGCTGGACTCCTTGAATGAGCCACAGGCCAGGCCTGAGCTCTGCCTCCATGTTAGCATTCTCATTCATAGCCCCGTTTTATAAATAAAGAAACTGAGGCTTAGAGAGGGGAAGCCACTTACCTGAGTAGCAGCACAGGGAAGCAGTATTCAACATTCACTGAGTGTGGTGTGCCAGGTCATCCCAGCTCTGGTACACAGTGGTGTCCTCATGGAGTTCACGTTCCAGTGAGGAGAGATGAGCAACAAATACTGTCAAGATTTGGTGATATGGGAGCCACTGGTGCTGGGTCTTAGGCCATGGAAAGAGCCTTGGTTTTAACTTTCCAGGCCACAGCGAACCCTGGATGTTGTGAGCCAGGATATGACCTGAGCCAGTTGAATTGATGGGAAACTGAGGCCCCAAGTGAAGTGATGGACATGGAGGGAACCAAAAAACTAAACCCTTACACCCCAGGGCTACCTGTCCCCAGACAGCTGCTGTAGGACACTGGGAAAGGATGTGGCATGAGGCAGGTGGGGAGCCATCATAAACAGGGAGGGCAGAGAGCTTTGCTGAGAAGGCATCTGATTAAAGACCTGAAGGAAACAAGGGAATGAGCCTCATGGTTAGCTGGGGCAAGAGCATGTGGCAGAGGGGACAGTCTATCTGTCCTGAGAGAGAGTAAGCAGGCCCACCTGAAGAGGCTTAGGATACTAATGTAGCTGGTCCTGTAGGGATCAGGGCACAGTCCCATCCATCCTGCCCTGTCCCTATCCATAGACATAGACTAGTGATGAGGGATGGAGGCCACAGCCCAAGACTAGGCCTCTCCATTAAACTGAGCAGAGGGAACCTTTTCCTGCTGTCCTTTTTAGTCAGGGATTGCATTCAGGGCACCTCAGCTTAGCCCACAGACTGAGCCCTGAGCTGAAGCTGTTGAGTGATGAGCTTTTGGAACTTTGGCAGATGTGCTTCCCTTGGTGCAGCTGTGAGCAAGCTGTGTCACCTCACTGAGCCTTGGCCTCACATCTGTAAAATGACCTAACAATTCAGACCTCTGGTGTTGTTAGCTCCCTGAGGGCAGGGATTTCCATGTGGCTTCTTTGCTGTGGTATTCTTAGCATGTCAACAAGTGGTTGGTATATAGTAGTTGCTTAGTAAATTATTGTTGAATGAATGATTGGGGTCATGTGTGCACATGTGTTTAGGTTTGTCAGGGTCCTGGCCGCCTGTCCCTCAGCATGAGTTAGCTGAGGCTGTAACTCACTAGACTGTGGTTCAAGGATTCTTAGGGGGTGGAGGTTGGATGTAGAACTGTGAGAGGTGTGGGAGTTTTTCTGCTCAATGGCATTAAATGGGTTTTGGCCCCTCTTCAGACATCATTGTCTCCATTCATGCTACAAGGGGCCAGATGAGCTGGCCACAGGCCTTCTCCTGTCTGCTGGGGTGACCTGGTGGGACACATCTGCCTGGGGTTTGCACCACACACACACACACACACACACACACGTGTGTGTGTGTGCACTCCTGGGCCTTCCCATTGTCTGTCGTTGTCAGGAGTGGCTGGCAGATATGAGCAGAGGCAAGGTGGGCTCTGCTGACTGCCAGTGTTTGGGTACCTGCTGGTATAATAAAATTTATATGGGCTTGGTGCCTGTGGCTCAAGCAGCTAAGGCGCCAGCCACATACACCTGAACTGACGGGTTCAAATCCAGTCCGGGCCCACCAAACAACAATGATGGCTGCAAACAGAAAATAGCCAGGCTCCGTGGCGGGGGCCTGTGGTCCCAGCTACTTGGGAGGCGGAGGCAGGAGAATCGCTTGAGCCCAGGAGTTGGAGATTGCTATGAGCTATGATGCCACAGTACTCTATCAAGGGCGACAGCTTGAGGCTCTGTCTCAAAAAAAAAAAAAAATTTATATGGGGTAATTTATAATGAACAGAAATTTAGTTCAGGCCTTTTTACCACGGGAAGGGGGCCCATTGCTATCTATGGCAAATGTATCTTGCTCTGTGAACCTGTATCTTGCTCTTACTTTGTAAACCTTTCTCTTCCTCAGTAAGCTTTGTTTCATGCTTAAGGAAAAAGAAGAAATTTATTTCTCACTGTTGTAATGGCAAGGAAGTAAAAAAGTCAAGGGACCAACATCTGATGAGGTCCTTCTTGCTGCATCATCCCATAGTGGAAGGCAAGAAAAGGCAAGAAGTGCCTGAACTTGGCCTTTTATAAGGAACTCTCTCCTGTAATAACAGCATCAATCCATTCATGAGAGTGGGGCCTCCATGACCCAAACATCTCCCATTAGACCCCACCTCCCAGCACTATTGCATTGGGGATCAAGTTTTCAACACATCTACTTCAAGGGGACACATTAAACCCATAGCACTCCCTTTCTTGAAGCATCTGATGACCACCAGTTTACTTTTCTCTTCATGTATTCACCTACTCTCGTACATGTCATATAAATGGAATCATACAATAAGTGGCCTTTTGTGACTGGCTTCTTATAGCATGTTTTTAAGGTTCATCTGTGTTTAGCATGTTAGCAGTATTTCATTTTTTCTTTTTTTTTT